AAAATGTGTAATCTTAGTTTTTTTTTTTAAAATGTGTGTAATCTTAGTTTTTATTTTTTTAAAATGTGTGTAATCTTAGTTTTTATTTTTTTAAAATGTGTGTAATCTTAGTTTTTATTTTTTTAAAATGTGTGTAATCTTAGTTTTTATTTTTTTAAAATGTGTGTAATCTTAGTTTTTATTTTTTTAAAATGTGTAATCTTAGTTTTATTTTTTTTTAAAATGTGTGTAATCTTAGTTTTTATTTTTTTAAAATGTGTGTAATCTTAGTTTTTATTTTTTTAAAATGTGTGTAATCTTAGTTTTTATTTTTTTAAAATGTGTGTAATCTTAGTTTTTATTTTTTTAAAATGTTTCGTGGAAAATGTCATGAAGCCATTTCTAACCTTAGGTCTCTGGCTAGGATACGGAAAACAATGGCTATTCAACAGAAATCAATAATAATAATAATAATAATAATAATCTCTGGTAGCAGAAGCATGAAAGAAATACAAAAAAATTTCTGCTCACATGTAGAGCTCGAACCTTACGAAGGGCTTTGTCTATGTAAAAAGTGTGTGATCTTTTTTTCTTTTACAAATGCTCAGTAGAAAATGTGATGGTGCCATTTCTAACCTTAGCTTAGGTCTCTGTTTGGGGACCGGAAAGAAACATCATATAAAGTTTTGTTGGTGTCATAACAATCCGAACAGAATGAATAAGGTGATAGCATCCTTGGAAACATCACATGTATCTTTGTGAGTCATGAGCAGAAAAGGCTCCCAGTTTGACCTATTCAAATGTTCTTGATTTTAGATGCATACCAAAGGTAGAATTACAGTTTCAAGCCAGATCCTTTCTCTTATGTCTGTGCGGTAACGAATGCTATACAAGGTGATCTGTTACGTTGATTTTTTTTATCAAATGTTTTCATCATGCATTAAAATCTGCCATAAAAATGCCAGATATAAACACTATTTTTCCTCTATCCCATGTTTTCGTTTACGACAAGGAATAACTATATTTATGCATTTATTTTCTTCTCTGTCTTTTGAACAAATCAAATTTTGAAAAGGTGTTTGGGGTTTTCTAACCATGCCATTCAAATAGCGATTCGCGTTTGACCTGAGCCATGATTGCTTTTGTTCATTTATAGCTGCCGGAGATTTACTTTTGACTCGAAACACGGATATTTTATCAATCTCCAAAAATAATGAGTAGTGAGTTCGATACGTACAGCGAGCATTATACATAATTCGACATTAAATACACCTAAAAAAAGCACCTGCGCTCAGAAATCATTCACTAATTTTAACCTAGTTTTGAATAACGTTTCAATAGTAGAGTACCCGTCTTACACGTCGAGCATGGTACCTACTAATTTTATGGCGCAGGTTTATAAATATAATTTTTATTCTAATATTTTTTTTCTCTAAATAGATAAACGATTTTTTATTTATATTATTTGGACAGTTATCCTCATCTTCATTACCATATTCACAACGTTTCATCTGCTGTACGCTCCAGCCTTCTTCAGGTGATTGGAATTTCAAACGAAACGCTTTATTTCGTCCAATGAGGCCCAGTAGATAAAAGATTTTGGTTAGATCTAGTGAATAGACCCAAAGAGATGTGAGTTCAATACCAGGCTCCAGCAGTGGTGAACCAAAAAATTAGAGAGTTGAGTTAAAAGGAAATAACCGAGACATCCGGAAGAGGCATGACACGTGGAACTAGAAAAATCTACCTCCTTGGACGAAATAAAGGGTTTGGTTCGAAATTCGAGTCCCCTGAAGAAGTACGGATCGTATAACGGCCGAAACGTTGGGAATATAGCAATGACGATCAGGATAGTAGTCCGAATAATGTAAATAATGTAACTAATCATAATAATTCATTTCAGAGATATAGACAGATATTTTTTTATTAAGCGCCTCTTTGAGAAGCAACTGTACTGAAATTTGAATAAATCTGAAGCAACTCAAGTACAGATGTCTGTTTGGTTTAAGCAATTATAAAATAAAGAAAACAAACACAAAATACAAAACATCTTACTCATTATAAAACGCAGATTGTGTGTGTCTGTCTGTACGTTTATATATTGATCGGATTTCCTACATTTTTCAACCGATTTCAACAAAACTTCACAGGACTGCGTAAAATTACCTTGCAGTGGTTTTTGCACGAATTCAATTTGAAAGCACGATAAAATATGATTCTGTCGCTAGAATGAAAGGGGGACAACTCATATCGAGTTATACTTATAAAACCCAGTTTCTTTGTGTGTGTGTGTGTCTGTGTTCGTTTATATATGGGATTGGATTCCCTACATTTTTCAACCAATTTCAACAAAACTTAACTTTTTTTTGGCAGGTAGTGTTTCTTGTTGTCTTGCACACTTTTTTCTTTATTTTTACATTCAGAATGCTTTAAAAATTCCATTTACATGACAATTGTTTATATTAAAATTCTATTCAATCGGTAGACTCATAACGATTGAAAACAATGTTTTTGTTTGAGTTTGGGTTTGACCAATTCGTAAAAAAAAACAAAACAAAAAAAAAATAATTAAGACATGCGTGTCCGTCAACCTTAAACAATAATCTTTGTCAATTTTATTTTTCAGTCTTTATGATGGTCGATACTTGATCTATCTCTTACTGTTACATCCCCGAGCAACGCCGGGCTCTACTGCTAGTAGTTACTAAATGGGTTCATTTATGTTGTATTCAAGAAATTTACCAATTCTACTAGATTAGGTACAATAAAATCGGGAAGGAACAACTCAACACCCCAACTCAACATCGCTAACTCAATACTGAACATCGTAAGGAAATAATTCAATAAAACACACTAGTTTTTACTTAGCATTTTATAAATTAAATCGAAAAATTCAAAACAAAATGAAGCAGTTATTTTTTTAATAAATCAAATCGTAAAGAAATTTATTTTAATAAAGAAAAAAGATATATAAAATATAATTCAATTAAACACACTAGTTTTTAGTTAGTTTTTATAAAGTAAATCAAAAAATTCAAAACAAAATGAACAGTTATTTTTTAATTATGCAAAATATGAAGCATTGTCAATTATTATTCATTTTTCATTAGTATTTCTTTCATCTTCATTTCTCTTGCTTTTTATTGCAATTCTCATCCATAAGAAGTAGAAGTAGAGAATATATCTATATGGCTAAATTTGAATGACTCCTGCTGGTTAGCCTTCTTAGATGAAGCATTGTCAATTATTATTCATTTTTCACTAGTATTTCTTTCATCTTCATTTCTCTTGCTTTTTATTGTAACTCCCATCCATAAGAAGTAGAAGTAGAGAATATAGCTATATGGCAAAATTTGAATGACTCCTGTTGGTTAGCCTTATTAGATGAAGCATTGTCAATTATTATTCATTTTTCACTAGTATTTCTTTCATCTTCATTTCTCTTGCTTTTTATTGCAACTCCCATCCATAAGAAGTAGAAATAGAGAATATAGCTATATGGCTAAATTTGAATGACTCCTGCTGGTTAGCCTTCTTAGATGAAGCATTGTCAATTATTATTCATTTTTTTTCATCTTATTTGTTTTACTTTGTAATCCGACTTTGCAACTTTTTGCTATTGTTCCTACTTCTATTTTTTATCCATTGATGTTGCATTTATTAAACAGTATATTTATTTATGTTCGTCTAACAGCCTGAATATTCGAGAAATCTTATTAAAGGAAAAATATGTGCTCTCCGGCAGGACTCGAAATAACGTCTTGCGAAGTGTTTATACCGACTTAGCCAGAGTGTGCGTCACCGATTAAAAGTGCTTTATAAACCCAAACCCTTCTCAGACTCTCTAAACATTCATATTTGCTACTGCATATTTTTCTTTAATAAGATCCCTCGAATATTCAGGCCAGTAGAATTAAATATAAATAATTAAACGTAGCATCTACTCAACTATGGGTATCCACAATATAATATTGATGTAATAAAATATATATGGAATGTGTGTGAGTGAAAGTAATTGATAGAAATACTTAGTTGTGTTTAATTTTGAAGAAACTGATAATTTCAAGTATATTCTATCTGAAGGATCGTGTGTCTCATAGAATTTGAAATACAGTGTGTAAAATACAGATGTAGTTCTAGTTTTCATCGAATGTTTTTTCGAGGAAGAAAATTTATTTTCATTGATCCCAGGCACCCCGATGTGAAAACTGATCAAAATACCAAGAAATCAAGATATTATCTTTCTTTCCTTGATTCAAACGTCTGATGTTTTTTTTTTTTTTTTTTTTTACTAAATGTTATGTTTTCAAGTGTCAAGGTTACAATCAACTTATCGATGATTTTAATTGAACCATAGAAATAGATTATTTTTTTTTTTTTACTCGGAATCTTTTGATATGATTTTCTGTAAAGAAGAAACGATTTCGCATTACTAAATCGATGTGCTTTTAATGTAAATCACGAACTAATTTTTTTTTTTAAATTTATATTTGGAATTGTTTACTGTGTGTAATTTTTTAAATTTAATTTCATAGTATAGAGAATGATTTTATGTGTAATTACGCGGATTAGATATTTAAAAAAAATAATGTTCACCCTGTAACAAGCATAAGAGCCACTCGATGTAGAAGGGTTTCAGAGTAACAGGTAGAGGTTATGAATGATACTGTTTAACCTAGACTTGAATAGGTTAAGAATGTAAAGATCAGGGAAGCATCCTCTTGGGAATTAGTTCCACAAAGCAGCTGTTCGTAGGAAGAAACTGCTTGAATGGAACTTACATCTCGTCAATGGTTTGATTGATTGATTCATTTTTTGCGGCTTATCAACCCTTTGCAGTTTATTTAAAACCAGAAATCACTTTTAGATTATAAGAATTTTATTTTATTTTTCAGAGAGAGCCATGATTCAGTGATACAAATCTTACTAATTAACCCATATGTGGGGGGAAAAGAAATAGATTTATATCTTTCTCAAGGGTCGGAGCAATTATTTATTACACGGCCCTCCCTTCCATGTCCACAACACCTAGTATTCCCAAACGATCATCCATCTAGGTATTGACCAAGCTCGAAGTTGCTTAACTTTGGTGATCATCCGAGAACCGGTGTTTGAACGTGATGTATCCGTAATATATGAAATATAAAGCGTGTCGAATTGGTTTGCTGCAATATTTATGGCATGATGGGTCTTAAACTGGCGGGAATGTCTGAACACTTCATGGAAAAAGCGATAGAACAGAGAGAGAGAGAGAGCGAGAGAGAGAGAGAGAGAGAGAGAGAGGCTTGCAATGCTTCATCTGAAGGAAACGCCTTGCAAGGTAGAAAAAATTATCACCCACAAGGACAAGGATATGTGGGGAAGATAACCGTTAATCCTAAACTTAAACAGGTTAATATATTAATAATCGGGGGAACCATCCCCTTGGGAGTCAGTTCCACAAAGCAGTTGTTCTTGAGAGGATGTTGCTCTAGCGGAACTTATATGTCATTAATGGAATATGGAATGTGGGCGGTTCGCTGCAATGTGCCTAGAATGGTTGGTCTTAGCCGTGAAGGATAAAACTGGTGGAACTAAGGAATTTACTTCGTCTGAAGACTTTCTATGAACATAGCGACAAATCCAAGGACGTGGATATGTGGGGAAGATAACGGTTAATCCTAGACTTAAACAGATTAATATATTAATGATTGGGGGACCATATTCTTGGGAGTCAGTTCCATAAAGCAGCTGTTCGTGGGAAGGCGTTGCTCGAGTGGCACTTACATCTCACTAATGGAATACAGAGGGAATGTAGGCGGTTCTCAACAATGTACATAGCGTTGCGGTTTTTAGACGTGAAGGCTAGAACTGATGGAACTTAGGAATTTAGTTCGTCTGAATACTTTCCATAGAAATAATGATAAAGCAGCCAAATGCTTGCAACGTTTCGTCTGTGGGAAACGGCTTGTAGGGTGGAACGTTTTATTTAAACTATTTCTGTTGATCATTAAAAAAGAACTATTTATATTATTTCGAAAAAGTCATATAATCTGTTTTCAAAGAGCTTATTTTAGCGTGTTCGTTAAATAATTACGTATTTCACCGCTATGAATTATGCATCAAAAATAAAGCTTGAAAGTTTTTCAACTGCGTCTTGTAAAAGTTATCACCTTTTCTATAAGTGTGTTCGAAAAGTAATTACGTATTTAATCGTTTATAGCTGAATCTATAGGAAAACATTGGATGTTAATGTCTAAGCTTATTGTTAAATATTGTTTGTTTTTTTATACTTGCGACTATAGAACTTGTTTTATACCTGAGACTAGAGAACTAGTGTTCATCTGAACACTTTCCAAGGAAATAGCTATCGAGAAGTGAGAGTATCGTTTCGTCTGTTGGAAAGAGATTGTAGCGTGGAAAATAATTCATCAACTACAAGGATATGGATATGTGGGGAAGATAATAGTTAACAATTGCCTGTACAGGTTAATATTTTAATAATCGGGAAACCATCCTCTTGGGAGTCAATTCCACAGAACAACTGTTCGTGGGAAGGTGTTGCTCGAGTGGCACTTACATCTCACCAATGGAATACAAAGGGAATGAGGGCGAGTCGCTACAATGTGGGTAGCATGGCAGGTCTTTGACGTGAATGCTAGAACTGGTGAAATTTAGGAATTTAGTCCGTCTGAACACTTTTCATCGACATAGCGATAAATCCAAGGACATGGATAGGTGGGAAAAATAACGGTTAATCCTTGACTTGAAGAGATTAATATATTAATGATTGGGGAACCATCTTCTTGGGAGTCAGTTCCATAAAGTAGCTGTTCGTGGGAATGCGTTGCTCGAGTGGCACTTACATCTCACCATTGGAACACGGAGGGAATGAGGGCGAGTCGCTGCAATGTGCGTAGTATGGTGGGTCTTAGACATGAAGGTTAGAACTGGTGGAAATAAGGAATTTACTTCGTCTGAAGACTTTCCATGGAAATAACGACAGAACTGCGACGTTTCGTCTGTGGGAAAGGGCTTGTAGGGTGGAACGTTTTATTTAAACTATTTCTGTTGTTCATTAAAAAAAGAAGTATTTATATTATTTCGAAAAATTGATATAAGCTATTTTCAAAGTGCTTATTTTTGTAAATTACGTATTTTGAATTATGCATCAAAAATAAAGCTGGAAAATTTTGTAACTGCGTCTCGTAAGAAGGTATCATCTATTCTATGTGTTCGAAAAGAAATTACGTATTTCACCGCTATGAATTATATGTCCACCAACAAAGGCAGAACCATGGTTAAATAGTTAGTAACTGCATCTCGAATTAGTTCATCCTATATTAGGGTGTTTGGAAAGTAATTACGTTTTTCTGCGTTACGGTTCACCCAACTAAGATAGAACCAAGGTTGAATTTTAGGATACTGTTTCTGGAATTAATTTATCATCTTTTCTATTAGGCTGCACGGAACGCAATTACAAATTTCAAGGCTATGAATTATGTGTCAACCGTTCAAGACAATAGGAGAATTAAGTTCTTATCTCCTAATACCTTCTCATATAGCATATTTAAGAGTTGAAAAAAAAAAGACTTTGCAAAGAGATTTTGGGTCTTTCATGAGAATTGTTTTTATTTATCTAAGAACCGGACAACGAATTCCTTCATCTGCAGCTATCTTTTAACCAGGAATATCCTTTTATCATTGCATTATTACACGTGATGAAAAATGTGTTCTGCATGTCAAAAGAAAGCGAAAAACACAGTGGATGACAAGCCAGTCCCAGTACCAAGACCCGGATGTCATCCACATAAATCCTCGCTTTATTGTCTGGCGGTATATCAAATGGGTAGTCCATTCGAAATGCGTATAAGCTGAAAGAACCGTAACCGGTATAGAGGTAGGTAAATGTATATTCATGATTTCCCCCCCATGCAAAGCAGTAAAGCCATTATGACAAAAAAGGGTTACCGAGTGTGAAATAATAATAATAATAAAGTGCAACAACAATAGAAGAGTAATCAAGAAGACAGTAGATAACGACTGACATTGCATTTAAATTTTTGAAGGTCAATTTTGGCTAAAAAGGATGGAGCCGGAAGAGTGTTCCACAGGCCAGAAGTGCGAGAAACTGTTAGCATATAACTTGTAGTGGCATCTAAACAAATCAACTGTAGCTTGATGAGTACTTGTTGCTAATTTAGTACTGCACTTAAATTCATAGATTCTAGGTATTTATCAAAATAATTACGATGGAAGTATTGATAGAAATGCACAGGGAAGTTACTTTACGGCTGTGGAAAAGAAACTGAAGCCGAGTTGCCAGGTCAAGACCAATACTATTGTTGGTACTTCTTTGGATTTCACCAAGAATCTCTAAGAAGCACTAGCCCATATGTGGAAGCAATATTCAAAGTACGAATGGATGGCAAACTTATGAATATGTAAGATCGATTCTGAGGAGGAAAAATCATCTAGGACGACACAACTGAATCTTCCCATTCCATGTCAGCCGAGAATGTTAGCCCAAGAAATCGCAACGAGTCACTGTCCTGGAGATTAAAATCAGCCATTCTCATGGGAGGCAGAATTTATTTCCATTTTCCCATGTGCAAGATTTAATGTTGAATCAATTTGCTTTTCCACACTTTGTTGAAGTACTTGTAGGGAACAGTGCCCTATTAAACAACTTGGAGACCCTTAGGATGAAGAATTGGCAAGCATTATCATAAAAGCACCACCTGAAACAAAAGTTATTTGTTTTAGTTATTGTTAGAATAAAAGAACATTTTTGAAATGATTTGATTTGAATTGTTTATTTAACGGCATATCAAATCCAGGTGTGTCATTTAATGCCAAAATTTAACTTTCTTGCTAGCTATGAAGTAATAAAACTATGATATATGTTATTCTGCTTTCACAATTGCATATATATATATATATATATATATATATATATATATATATATATATATATATATATATATGTACATAAATAAAAAGAAAGAACAGTAAGATATATAATCCGGTGTTCTTATTGATATTTTTATTTTTACAAAATAGTGCTCAATGTAAATTTACAGAGCATTAATATTATAAATTAATTGATTTAAAATTTTTGAATTTTTGAGACATGGTTAGAACTGTGTAGCGAAAAACATATTTTAAATCAATTCATTTATAATATATATATATATATCGGCAGGTGCGAGATAAGAAGCTGTTGGAGTAGAAGAGATTGCTATATTTAGTCGTTTCGACAGTGAAAGGGTGGGACCGAAATGCCAAACTAGTACCGAGCTTAAATTCATATAGTTTGGAAACCAGTGGTATATGATATTAGCTTATGTGCACGTACATGTTTATGTGGACATGATTACCATATGTGTGTTTTGTGTTGTAGCTTAGTTGAAGCTATATATCAGAATAACGTTTGAATAAACAAATTGTAGTATATTATATGGATTAATGTCATGAAATATACCTTTATGCTGGTTGTTGTATTGTTGGTAATTTTACTATAAATAAGTACTAATTTTTTTTTTAAGCATTCACCCCAAGCAAGGCGGGAAGCCACTAGGACGCAAGGGGTTACAGAAAATATAGAGCGAGATCAGATAGGGGTGATAGAAGAAAGGATGAGAAGAAGGGTAGTGGATAGATCAAGGCAACTGGAGATGTCGATTGACATTACACTTGAATAGCTGGAGATTATAGCTCTCAGGGAAACTGGAATAGGGAAGGGAGTTCCACAGGCGGGAGGTGCGAGACATGAAGCTATTAGAGTAAAAGAGATAGCTGCATTTATGAGTTTCGACAGCGAAGGGGTGAGAGCGGGATGCCAGCCTCATCGGGCGCTTGAACTCATGAAGTCTGGGAACCAGCGAATGCAGCTCCTCGGAGCAATTACAATGAAAGTATTTGTAAAACAAACAGAGAGAGGCGACGGTGCGTCTGTGAGAAAGTGACTGTAGACGAGATGCCAGAGCAGGGCCAATTATATTGCATATCCGCCTCTGGAGCCTATCAAGAACCCCGAGGCAAACAGAAGGGGTACCAGACTATATATGGCAGCAATACTCCATGCAAGGGCGAATTGTTGATTTGTTGATTTGTAGATCTGGAGGATCGATTCCGGGGAGAAAAATTTCCTGGCGCGGCACAGGGAGCCAACTTTCCTTGCGGTGGACGAGGCAATTGACTCAATGTATTTGTTCCATCTCAAGTCTGATGGCATTTTTTTTTATATAAAATTATATTTCTGGTAATTTTATGATAGGGTTTTGCTTTTCTTTGTGGGTTCACTATTTACCTATAGCTGGGACCCTAACAGGTGCTAACACCCAGAGTCAGAGTGAACGTGGGGACAACAGTAATTAAAGAGATAGTTCTCCGTTCCTCAAAACTTATCTCCAATTTGTCTTGCTGCCAAATGTAGTTTATCGTCATACCCAGGACTATTATTTAAATGTTAGAATTAAGAAAAAAGGATTGTTCCTAGATTTATGATGGTAAAGAAGTTCACAAAGGGATCGAATTTCTGAAGACATTCACAGACAACTGACATAAATCTGTAGGTTGTCTTTTCTTTTTGAATTTTTTTTTTTTTAAATAAAATCGTTCATTTCCGTGAGGCTACTATTCTTTATGCGAATTTGGTGAGCGAAAGAAGAGATGCTGAATAAAATACTCTGGAGGGAACCTAAAAAAAGAGCCAGCGAAGGCGACTGGCGAAAAGATGGGTAGATCAGCTTAGAAACGGCACTGATTTAACGGGTGAACAAGGAACGAAGACATTAGGAGACAAAAAAAAAAAAGAATGGGAGAATGCAATAAACGGAATATAAGTTCGATACAAGAAGAATGAGTAGGAGGAAGAAAACTACAAGAAGAAGGAGGACGATGACGACGATAAACATAAGGAGGGAAAGAAGAGAAGCAGGCAAGATATAATTAGTGAATGCGTTAGGAGGAGGAGGAGGAGGAGGGTAAGAAAAGCATGGGGAGAGGATAAGAAGCAGAAGGAAGAGCATAAAGAAAGAAATAGTTATTCTTTCGTTTGAAGAAGGAGGAGGAAGAGGAAGGGGAGAAAGAGGAAGCGTAGGAAGATAAGCAGATAGAGAAGAAGGCATGTCGTTGGAAGTAGAGTAAGAAGGAGGTGGAGGATGGAAATGAGGAGTTGGAAGAGGAGGAAAATAGAGAAAAGGGAGAGAAGCAGAAGAAAAGGAGGAGGAAGCAAGAAAGAACAATTAGCCAGAAGTAGAGGAGGAGGGACGGGGGAGGAGGGAAAGGAGGTGTAGGAGGAGAGGAAGGAAATGGGGAAGAAGTGAAACAGGAGGAAAGGAGGAAGAGGCACGAAATCGCTGTTAGCCATGTCGCTAGAAGTAGAATGAGGAGGAGTAGTAGAGAAGTGAAGCAGAAAGGAAGAGAAGCAGGAGGAGAAGGAGGAGGAAGAGAAACAGGACAAATGGAAGGAGGAAGAGGCAAGAAATCGCTATTAGCCATGTCGCTAAAAGTGGAGAAGGAGGAGAAGAAGTAGAAGGAGATGGAGGAGAAGGAGGAGACAAATGAAGCGGGGAGAAAGAGTAGAAAGAGGAGGAGGAAGTGAAACAGAAGAAAAAGGAGGAGGAGGAGGAGGAGGCAAGAAATCGCTTTTAGCCAAAGGAAAAAAAGGAGGAAGGGGAGAAACAGGAATCAAGGAGGGAGAGAAGTAGAAGTAGGAGGAGGAGGAAATAAAACTGAAGAAAAACGAAAAGGATGCAAGAAATCGCTGTTAGCCATGTTATTAGAAGCAGAAGATGTGTAGGAGGAGGAGGAGACAAGTCAAGCGAGAGGGAAGAGATGAAGTAGGAGGAAGTGAAACAGAAGAAAATCGAGGAGGAGGCCAAAAAATTGCTGTTAGCCATTTTGTTAATAGAAGAAGAGGGAGAAGTAGAAGAGAAGGAAGAGGAAGAGCAGGAGGAGCAGGAGGAGGAAAGAAATGGCCACGAGCTATTTTTTGCTTTCTAAATTTTTTTCTGACTTAGATAAGCCCCTAATTTTTATCATGAGAAACAGGGAAAAATAATCATGAATTTTAATTTATGTGAGATAGGTGGTCATTGCCCTCCAGGTTTTGAAGCCTTTAGCAGCAGCTAAACCCATACGGAAATCCAGCAATTTTATGGAAAATATAATTTCTGAAGTTAATCAATACGCGTGATTTACATTAAAAATTATGAGATCTTTAACGTTATGACTATTGAAATAGAAACATTAAGAACTTAATGAAAATACGTTATTAATTTATTTAATTTTGACTGCTTACATTATTCACAACGTTTCGACAGTTCGCTCCGGCCTTCTTCAGGTGATTGGAATTTCAAACCGAACCCTTTATTTCGTCTGTATTGGTAGATTGTTCTAGTTCCACGTGCCTCAAGGATACATGGTCCTGTGGATAAAGACGTTGGTTTGATCACGTGACTAGACCCAGAGAGTTGTGAGTTTACTGCCAGGCCACAGCAGTGGTGAACCAAACTTGGGGAGTTGAGTTAAAGGGAAATAATTCAGGCGAGGCATGGCACATGGAACTAGAACAATCTACCATGCTGGGCGAAATAAAGGGTTCAGTTCGAAATTCCAATCACTTGAAGAAGGCGGGAGCGTACAACGGCCGAAACGTTGTGAATATGGCAATGAAGATGAGAATAACAGTCCGAATAGTGTAAATGATCTAAGTAATTGTTGAAACTTGACTAATGCATGGAATAATAATGCAACACAAAATGTACTTAGAACAAAATGTATTGAAACAAGAAAGTGTACACAATATTTACATATAGCCTTTTGTATATTCTTGGGAAGACCGTTCCTGGAGAATGTGTTGACTGAGTCGCAGTCGGGCAGAGTCTCTGGTTGAATCTCTTCCTCCCTCTCTTCCCGGTACCAACCATATTTATATGGTCGGTACTCCACTATGCAAATTAGGTGGATCCTACCACAACAGTAATCATAATACTTCATCTCAGAGATATAGATAGATAATTTTGACTGATAGTACTGTCTAACGACATTTTGATTTTTTGTGGTCTTTGGTCAGTTAGTCTTATTTTCTAATAGCGTCTGTCTAGAAAGCAAAGGAAATTACTAACATTTCCTTCAAACATTGCTTTTGTGATCTAGAGTTTGATGTTTCACATTCGGCGCTGGGTTGCCGAAAGAGAATTTTCTTGAAGTTTCAAAATCTTTTGTGGAGTTTCTAATAGTTTCAGGAATTTCTAGAACGTTCTAGCAGAATAGATGGCAGTATAAATACAGAGAACGTAAGCTCAACAGTTCAGCTTACTTCTAGCTGTCAAAGTACAAGAGAAATCATCATTGATAGATGTGATAGTTACAAAAGCAAAGTTGGAAGGAAATATCAACCATTTTAAATACTTTCTAGGCGTAAGCAAATCGGAAAGAGCAGTTGCTACCCAAGTACAACACAGTGTAATTTATCTTAATGACAAAAACGTTTTGTCTTCCTAGATGCAGCTGTTGATATTTACACGTACACCTTTGTGCAAATTAATTGAAACAACCGCTTTAGTTTCCTTTCTTTCACCATACGATCAGTTTTAGACTCACTGCAATGACAGGGTGTAGTCGATTTCTATTTTTTCCTCACATTATATCATTTGCAGTGGTGAGCAGTAATATGAATCTATTTTCGTGGTGTATTATGAAATTTGTTTGACCATGAAAAATACTACGTCATTTGTGATTGCATCAGATTTTTATCCCACCTAGACACTATTTTCTCGACTGTCGATTAGTTGTCTTATGACCATTGTCTGCGATGAAGGTTACTTCAAAGAAGCGTACGAAAATTGTAACGCTGCACGAACGCACTGGCAAGCCTTACCAGTGAGCAAATCAAAGATTGGCTGTGAAACTCTACTGATTTAGATGCAATCGAGAATCTGTGGTCAAAATGTTTCTAATTCTTTAATTAAACGTTCAATCATTCCGCCTCACCTGCTATCCTCTTTCACCGTACCTATGAGGCGCACTGCAACGTTTGAGAACCACTGCTCTATACATTTATCAGTTAACTCTTCAATATATTTTGAGCAAAATTTCATTAGAGAGAGTTTCCCTATAAACAAAAGTGATCGTAAAAGGTAATAATTATCTGGTGAATAGGGTGAGTAGAAATAAGTCAGAACGGGTTCCCAAATCTTTTCCTGTGTTATACTAGCCGTATGTTGCCCTAAATTGTATAGAAAAAACAACATTTTTCCTATTGACAAGTGCAGGATTATTTTTAGGTCACACTTTTATGGACACATTGCGGCTGCTTGACACATAAATGTGCATTTTGTTTATCATTGTGTTTTAAGATCTCTAAATGAATCGCCAATACGGACATTTTGGAGCTTAAACTTTTGAGTCGGTTATGAAGATTTACTGGTTGGTATCATATTGCATTGAGCATTGCCGTATGTAACTTATTTTTCATCATCTGTTAGGGTAGATTAAATGAAAGAAGATTTGTCGCTACAGAAATCTGTACGCTTTGTTCTATTAGTGTTACGCATATGCCTCCACACACACACACACACACACACACACACATATATATATATATATATATATATATATATATATATATATATATATATATATATATATATATATATATGTATATCATTAAGAAATAGACAACCTTATTATTTAATTAATATTTGCTCTGGTTTTACATTGAGTTCTCTGGATCACATCCTCTTTGGAATTATCCACACGGATTACCAAACGCTTCAGTACTTTATTATATATATATTAGAGCGGTATGTATTGGAAAGTACTAAATATCAGTGATAGAGCTAACATATTCAATTGTATGGATATGAGTTTGGGACCCTGTGTTTCACGCTTTTGCGATCATCAGCAAAAAGAGCTATATATATATATATATATATATATATATATATATATATATATATATATATATATATATATATAAATATTGAAACACCAGTTCCCGTACGATCACCAAAGTTAAAGAACGTCGATCTGTAGCTAACTGGGTTACTGCTTAGGAATTTCGACACACTCGGTGTCTTATCAGGTGATGATGTTGAAGATAAAATAGATGGTTTTAAAAGTTTCAGATTAATCAACGATCCTACACTAGGGGGAAACATTGTTACAAAAGCTAGAATAACCAATCAAAACCTAAGTATAGAAAGATTCAAAATCATGATTTCGTTGTCAAGCTTTTTTTATGTTATAATTTTTTTTAATAATTATATATATATATATATATATATATATATATATATATATATATATATATATATATATATATTATTTCACCCAAAGCCAGGCAATAAAACCACTAAGACGCAAGTGTTAGAGAGTATGAGAAAAAAAGAAAAGAAAAAAATACTGTTAAGGAGTGAGATTAATATATATATAAAAAAACACGAATAAAGGACACTAAAGTTGAGTTGGAAGCAAGAAGCCAAAAGAGATTAATAGGAAAAAGAAAAGAATTCATTCCTTTCCCAAGGGTGGTTGTGCGTAAGTAAATATAAAAACCTCGACTGGAATTGGAACTCGACACTCCGATTAAGAATTCTAAGCCACCGAAACATACTCACTTTCCGCACATGATATACACAAACGGTCACTCATTTAGGTACTGACCCGTCACAACGTTGCTTAACTTCGGTGAATGTACGGGTGTTAGAACATGATGTAGCCGTAAGCCACAAGTGCGGGAGGTCAACGCATATATAGATATTAGAAGGCGCGTGTTCAAATGTGATTATGAGCAAATTTAAATTCTTTTGTGTATCGCATGGCGAAATTGACACGGTGATGTGTACATTTGTATGCTTCTGGGCGTCTGTGTGCGTGAGTGTAAGAGAAAAGGCATCTCTCTCGGTGCGAGCCTCGGTACCATTCTTGTCACACAGCATTGCGAAGATAAAAACTGTACCACCCGCCACCCTCGCGCGAAATGGACCCCCTTCTGATTTCTGGAGGGTTGACACTATTCAGCATCTCTTGTCACTGGTAAGGGGCCGGCCTCAGTCAGCATAAAAATACAGGCTGCAAAAACGTTGGATTTGTCTTGAGGAGGCGCGTGTAATAGACAGTGACACTCGTCTACTCGACTCAAACAAAAGATGTCAGTATATATTAACGACTAGGTTGTGACCAGATTAGTTTTATGGCACGAAAAGGTCTGCCCATGGGACAGACAAGTTTATACGGGTCTACGAGTAGCTTTTATGCCTGAATTTGAGATTCTACACGATTGGCTTTTGTGGAAATGGAGAGGGATAAAATCGACACAAGTGGCTTTGTAAATTGAATCCAAATTCTTTCGTCTACGAGTGTCGTGTATGTGTCAAAATATCGTGTATGTGCGAAAATATGTGTGAAAATATCGTGTATGTGTTAAAATATGTGTCAAAATATCGTGTATGTGTCAAACTATGTGTCAAACTATGTGTCAAAATATCGTGTATGTGTCAAAATATGTGTCAAAATATGTGTCAAAATATCGTGTATGTGTCAAAAATATGTGTCAAGATATCGTGTATATGTCAAAATATGTGTCAAAATATCGTGTATGTGTCAAAATATGTGTCAAAATATCGTGGATGTGTCAAAATATGTGTCAAAATATCGTGTATGTGTCAAAATATGTCAAAATATCATGTATGTGTCAAAATATGTGTCAAAATATTGCTTCGCCTGTGTGTAGATGAACATCTAAAACGCGTATTGGTCATGTAGGTCAACGCAAAAGTATCGTTGACTGCAGCTCGAATATGACGACTGACTACTGCAGCAATTGTAATATGAATGCATTTGAGGTTCCTTAAAGAAGCGAGATAATTATTAATTATTATGCATTTGAGGTTCC